CAGAATCAGTGCCAGTTGATCAGCATGGGCTCCGCTCCACTGGGTGCAGGTATGGAGCGGAGTCAGTGCAGCAGCTGTTCTCTTCCTTCCTTCTTCTAAGCGGTGTTTACGACAGTTTTTAGGGAATGAAAATGTCAGAAAGTACCACCTTTATTGAACCATTAATCACACATCAGACAGTAAGAGTCTTCGGTTCTGCCCCTCACTAACCCTGCCGGTCTCTGTAGGGATGCTGCCTCCTCACCGAATTCAACCTGGAGCCCCCAAGTCACAACAAGAAGAAGAACAAGTACGATGTGGAGGCCATGGCCACCGATGAGAGAGAGAGAGAGAGAGAGAGAGAGAGAGAGAGAGAGAGAGAGAGAGAGAGAGAGAGAGAGAGAGAGAGAGAGAGAGAGAGAGAGTTAATTGAAGTTTGACAACTTCTTGAACAAAGCTCCTCTTTTCTGATGAACGCTTTGAGTCAACTCATCTTCCACCTCTTTATCAGTAAATGAAGTGAACAATGTCTATGTAGGCATGTTTATCCAGGTTTTAGTTGTGAGATTTCAGACAATAACTCATCAACTATTGACTCATGTATATATTCAGGCATTGCTGGTAACTGATATAAAAATCACAATTTAAAAATTAACCCCCCCAGTTTGTTGTCAGCTGAGTTTATTAATTATTAAATCTTCAGTTTCAGCAGCAAGTTTTTTTTGTGGTTACTTTAAAAAGGTTGTTGATTATGTAATTTTTATTTAGCATTATAGCACTAATCTTGGTAACAAAAAGACATTGACTTTTGACTTTGACATTGACTTGACATTTTTTTCTGTAAATCCAGTAGTGAGGAGTGTTTCTGTTGTATGGAAAAATTGATCATCTTTGTCTAATTTTTTTGAATTTATAAATAAAAAAGTCATTTTTTTATTTCTCTCTAATCAGATAAATTGTAATTTATAAAACCCACAAACTGGAGCTCTGTGGGGTTTTTTTTTTCACTCGCGTGATTGAGTGAGCTTAGTTGTGAGTGGGGTGTTTATTTAGTGTGAGTGGTTATATAAGAAGATGGTCACTTCCTGTATAAATAAGCTTGTACTTAATGAATCAGTAAATAAACGTTTTTTATATGAATACAGTGTGAAGTGTAAATCTAATCATTTTGATTTATTATAATAATTTATTCTGTAATTGCCTCATTTCTTAAACAAACAATAGTATATAAACTTTAATTATTTTGTGATATTGTTTAACCTTTGTATCTATCACATAGACTTGAATATATAAACTCCTTGATCTATCGTTCTTAGACCATTTTATATGAATTTGTTTTATGTAAAATGTACCTGTGAAATCTTAGGTTGGTTAGAACAAGGCTTTCTCAGTGCTGCTTTCATTGGCTTTTTATTAAGGAGGAGTTTCTGATATCTGCTTTATTTTGACTGGGAACATAAAATAAATAAAGTACCTTGCTGAAATAAATAAATTGAAATATCGGTTTTTTTCAGGCTTCGAAGATAGATTAATATATTTTTCATAGTTTTTCTTTTATTAAGAAATTATTCTTTTGGTGATCTTCACATTTTTTGAGTTTCTAGTGTTCATGTTCTGGTACTAAGATTTCCCACAGCACCTAAAGGTTGCACCGCTACGCATGCGTGTTCATCACTCACCCGCTGGAGACATGGCGACGTCCCTGATCTGCGGCTGTTTGACGGCTAGCCTGAGAACTTCAGGAGCCAGGACCGCTCTTGGTTCTGCTACCAAGGTGAGTCTGCGTTCACGTTGAAGCGAAAACCTTTGACTTACGCTACAGGTGACCGTCATGGCGCCACATCTACCCTGATAGCCACAGTCATCCGAAAAGCTGAAGGTTCATATTTGACATTAGCACAACACCATTGAGTTTGTGTTGTTTTGGCTAACATGCTAATAGCAGTAAGTTGGTGTTAGCAGCAGCTGCAGGGGAGACCAGTTTCAAAGTAACCTCAGGCTGCTTTTAAGCTGTCGCAGAGGAGGACCAGGACTTCTTGTCCACATAGTTGTTGTGTCCGGACAGTGAAGCTCGGTGTCCCCACCAGCCTCAGCTGGCTCTGCGTGGGAGTCATGTTTTTATTTTTCTTAAGGTATCAGAATCCCACACCCAGTTAAACAAAACAAAACTAATATCCAGAATTATCTCAGTTACAAGCCGAGACAAACGAACAGCCGCTCCCTTTGCCACTAGGATTCTGAAAACTAGACCCTCAACTTGTTAAAAAAATAAAATGTTTCATTTTGAGATTTTATGGTAATCATAATATAAATATGATACGATTTCTTTGTATAAGTGACAGATAATAGAATAGGAAAAGACACTGAATGGGACTTATTTAATTCATTTCTTACACAACAGCCTCTTTGAGTTAGATTGTAAAAACTATTTGTTTACAATAGGGTTGGGCATAATCGTATCGTGTGTGATTAATCGTCAGAAAAACATTAATCGATTAATTTTTGGCACTTGGCAATTAATACGATTAATGCCAACAGGTAGAATCCGCTCACTGCTCCTCTCTGCTTCAAATATGACGAACATTTAAAAAAAGTTCTGTAACTTATTTATCTATCAACACAATTTAAAATTTGATGTATAGCCTGAAGTCTGTAATTTTGACACAATTTGGAACAGATTTTTATGAAGAGCAAATCTTTCCCACTAAATTGGTCATGTTACTAGGACATAAGGGGGTCCAGGGACTCCAGAGGATTAATCGTCAAATTAATCGTTATTGGCTAAATACCACAATTAATCGTGATTTATTTTTTTGCCAATATTGCCCAACCCTAGTTTACAAGTTACTAATGTACGTAAAATCAAAACATGCTTCCTTTTTAAATATTTAGAACCAGAGGATTTATTGAATATTTGCTGACTCAATAGTCAAAAACACTTTTTCAAGCAATATATGTTGTTTTCATCAGCGTTTTGGTGATCAGTTCTGCTTTAATTTTCTTTACAACTTTTAATGCTGAATAAACCCCAGAAACATATTTTTTTCAAGCAAAAAATTTCAAGCCAAAAATATAGTTTTGATAAAATTTTAATCAGATTATATAAACAACAGTAAATTCTCATGAATTCATAGTAAAGAAAAACAAAGAAGAAACCAGTTAAGTTCAAATCTGCACTTTAAGCTCTCACACCACAGCCTGACCTCTCCCTGCAGGCTTTCCCAGATTGACTTACATGTTTTTCTAATGAGGAAGTTTCACATCCAGCTGACTGAGTTTAAGAAACTCTGTTTCACATCCTCAGTCAGTTTTTAATGCATTAACCTGCAGGCAGAATAAACTTTAGGTGGAGACTGAGTTTTGTACTTGAAAGCAGTCAGTTGTCTTTCACAAAACCATTTCAGGTCATTGAGATAATTCGTCTCTGTGTGGTTTACAAAAGGACTGAGATGGCATGAGAAGGGTTAAAGTCAACACACTGCTGTTCATTTCTGAGCTGCTGAGTGAGGTGGTGACAAAGCCAAAACATTTGATACATAAAGACAATGGGCCTCATGCAAGAACATGTTCGTATTCTTATCCTAAATTTCTCTTACTTTTGTTCGTACAAAGGGTTCGTACGAACATGTCACGTCAGATTCAACAAACTCTTCTATCTTCAGGAAAAGTGTGTAAATGAGCTGCGTAAATTCCACCTGTTCTATCCAGCTGCTCGTGCACGCGAGAGGAGATTAGCATAATTACCACCCCAAAAACACCATATAAGGCAATGTTTCCTGCTTCAGCTACAAGGAAGTGTCCATTCATGAAAATGACAGCGAAAACTAAAAAGAACTTTACGAGTTCAGAGATTGAAGTCCGTCTGTCAGAGATCCAGAAAAGAAAATCTGTCATTTTTAGCAGGTCAGCTGTGGGATAAAAAGAGCTGCTAAAAGTATAAACAACTGTGTTAAATCATTTTCATTTATTCAGAAGACACAGCGCTGCACACCGTGCCCCCCCGCGCTGCGCGGTCGCAGGTGGTCTCAGATGCGGGTTTAAAATAAGCATTTTAAAATGTTTTCAAAATATGTCTGGCACTTTGGAGAAAACCCAGGACTCGCTGGAGGGATTGTGTATCCCCTCTGGCCTGGGAACGTCTCGGAGTCCCCCAGGACGAGCTGGAAAGTGTCGCTGGTGAGAGCGTGGGGTCTCTCTCCTGCTGCCCCCGCACCCGATAGCGGGTAAGCCGGCTGGACAGACAATTTATATTGTTAGTCTAAATTATTACATTTAAAATTATAACTCTAATTCAAGCAGAATAGCCTATTGTCAACATAATTATGGAGTGTGATTTATTTTCATCTCAAAATATCTTCAAACTAACRAAATATAAAGTTATTAATGAAGAAAATCCATCTGGATAACAGCAGACTGACTGATTGTAAAATATACGACAGGTCTGGACCACTCGTGAATTTTGTTCGTATCTGAAAAAAATCTTAGAATACGCAAACAAATATGCCACAAATTCTCCTAAACCACTCGTACGCACAATTTAAGAACAAATCTGTGTGTACGAACGGTTCTTGCATGAGGCTCATTGTTTGTTCTTGAGGGTGGTCTGTAGTGTCGGCAGGAGGTCTGTGACATTACCCAGCTGTGTGATTTAGGATGGAAGGTGTCTGACACACATTTATGTTCACTTCACAACGTTAAAACTGCTTGGTGTTAACTTCATACTTGGTCCTGGGGAACCACTATCCTGCATGTTTTATATGTTTCACCACTTTGAATGAAGCAGACCTGCCGAAGAGCATGCAAAAATCTAAAACATGCAGGATCATGGCCTTGGAGGACCAGGATCAGGCACCACTGCTCTAAAGATAGATTCATGAATGTCCAGAGGCTCTAAAGCAGGGGTGCCCAAACCTTTTCCTCAAGAGGGCCAAAATAAAAATCTGTCTGAGGGCTGCGGCCAAATGCAATAATATAATACTTGAAATACAAATATTGCTTCAACAAAGGCCTTTATTTATGATTAGGCTGTCAGCTAGTGCCGCAAACATTGTTTTTTTGTTTGTTTTATTTTTAGCCCATGCACTTGGAGAAAGTTTGATGTATACTCAGGCAGCAAAGCCTCATGGGACATTTCATAAATTGATCAAATATGAGTATTTGTGGTCTACATGTGTGCTTAAATCTAATCTAAATRTTTCTTGTAGTTACTTGTATTTCATGTTTAATCTCAATATAATTCAGCACCATGTGTAAAAGTGGAATACTGGTGGAAAGTGGGGGCCAAATCAAATGACTTGATGAGCTAAATTTGGCCTGTGGGCCCCACTTTGGTCACCTCTGCTCTAACGATAGGCTWATCTTTACAGTCAAGCTGGAACAGTTCTAGTTTATATAGATAATCCCCATTCACAAGATATCAGCGGTACACTCTGGAGCAGTGGGAGATGCTGGTCTTTCAAGGAGAGGAAGCTCAGTTTCGGCCTACATAATAAAATGTGTGGGTTATAAATTCTACCCTCCGTTCCTTTTC